ATAATGGAAGACCCCGTTCGTGGCAGACTTGTACGAAACGCGTTACAAGTAATGGATTACTTGTAATCGATTAAATTTTACTGTAATTTTCTAACTTTTTTTGCTGTAATCGATTACAAAGTTATTCAATACAATTTTTCAGATTTTTTTTTTTTTTTGAGGGGAGGGGGGGGGGGGAAGGGAAGGGAGGGGGGGTTAGATGTGCTGGAGTCACTCAGCTCGGGGCAACGGTAACTTTTTAATTTTTTTTTTTCGAAATTATTAAGCACGGGACCTTGAGGATTAGTAGGCCAATTCACTATAGAACGACACGCTGTTTACAAACAATCCCTCGTTTGCCCACACCAGGTGTGGGCACTGCGCGTGCGCCGAAACCGAATTCACGTGAAGTGAATCGTCTGCGCATGTGCAGTGCCGTCGACAGCTCCACCGCAGCTGCGTGACGTCACGGCCGCGTGTTGGTCTATACTTCGTTTCCTGGGTACATGTTTCTTTGTACACCAGAGATAACGTCCGGCTATGAAAAATTACCTTTTCCAGCCCCCAGTGAGTATGGAATTTAAACAACGCTTTTTTATTTTACTTTTTTTTTGTTTTCATGAGAGGGGTTGGGTGTGTTGGCGTCCCTCACTCAGCTCTGAAAAAAAACGTCAAGGCTTTCTTTTTTCTTTTTTTGGAACAACTGAGCGCGAGATCCCAAGGATTATACTACCCTTTTAAAAAGGTTAGATGAGAAGTAACGTGGGAAGTAATTGATTACTTGAAAGTAATTTTTCGATTACTTTTTGAGGCTGTAATTGTAGTTGTAATCGGTTACTTTTTACAATGAAGCAATTGTAATTGGAATCGGTTACTTTTTTCAGTAACGTGTACAAGTCTGGTTCGTGGTGAGGAAAAGGTACAACTAATTATGATAGTGGTTTAATAAATGGATATAACTAAGGGCTAGTGTGAAGTCGACTGTTCTTATTGATATATACACGAGAAAACTCACCGGGAAATTGCAACGTTTCTTTTCAATCAGAGGAAAAAGACAACTTTTATTGCCGGGCTTGACTGATGAGGCTGGGCTTTGCGGACCCCTAGAATGCCTTCGCGCACCCCAAAGGCTTCGCGGATTCCCATTCGAGGAGCAGTGGCGTAGAGTATAATACTTTCCCCAATCATCTTGAGGGCGCCGCCATTTTGGTGCCGAGTGCAGAGCGGGCGCAAATGACGATCGTTACGATTTGAAAACGCGACTTCCCGAACTGTATACTTCGTTTCCGCTCAAGCCCAGACGCAGATGACGCTACGACCAATCAAGCAGCGTCAAAAGCACCAGTGATTGGGCCTTATCTGTTTATGATTGGTTCAGCGATGATAGAACACGTACAGAAACATGTCGAATGACATGATCGGTCCCATCAGCTCGTAGCGTTGGCTGCTTCTGGACTTCAGGTGAAACAAAGTATAGATACGGCGCCAGAAAGCTCACGGAATATCGTTTTGCTCTGCCTCGAATTGTTTTAACATTTCTGGAGGAGGCAAACCGTTTGCTGCGATTTCAGATCAATCTCCAGATAGCTGGTAACCGTGACTTTAAGCATCAAGGTAGCCGAAGTGGCATTACTCTGAGTCTAGCTTTTCTAGTGGCTTTAAAAAGAAATATATGTAACGACTGTCAGAGGAAAAAAAAAAAAAGATCTGTCTACTAAGTCTAAATGCAGTCGTCGATCGAATGTCGATTTTATCAATTAAAGGTCGAGTGCTGAGACTGACACTGCGTTGGTACGCGTTATAGACCCCTTTCGAAATTCACGTGGCGATTATTAGAAGGTCAGAACCACTGCACAATGGCGGAACAACTGACGTCGTGAAACGTGCAAGTCATTCCATATGATAGCGAACGTCGGAGCGCGGCCAACGCTAATATCCGACCACCCAATCAAACAACCTCGAAAGTGCACCGTCACTGCGCCTATCACCTTGTTCTGTGGCTTTCTTTTTTCTTCTGCTCCAACCAAACACATAAAGTGTGTCGTGACGTTGCGGTTTTTGTCCGCCTTTGTGCAGGGATTTCACAGCTGCCAACAGAGGGCACTATTTCGAAAGGGGTTTGTAGACCCCCTTTGGAAAGCTGCCCTCTGTTGGCAGCTGTGCGCAATGGTGGACTCAAACCGCAACGTCGTGGCGCACTGCGCGTTTGGCTGGATGAGAATGCAAAAGCGCACCCACAGAAAGAGGTGATGAGCACAGTGACTTTGCACTTCCAACGCTGTTTGATTGTCTCGTCGTGTCATTGCGTTGGCCGCGTTCCGTCGCTCGCTGTCTTATGGAATGACTTGCACGTTCCACGATGTCAGTTGTTCCGCCATTGTGCAATGGCTCTGCACAATGGCGGAAGTGGCCTATTAGTTCTTATTTTTTGTTGCTGTTGTAGGGATTGAGTAACGTAGGAAGAGTGGAAGCTCGATTGCTGCGTGCCGGTAATAGAGAGTTTCAGGGAGGCGTTTTTGCCCATCCGATACGATACGATGAGCCCTCCGGTAGCAACTGCGCATGTGCAAGTCTTCTGCGGTGGCGCATGCGCAGTTCGTACCGGAGGACCCATCGTACCCTATCGAATGCGCAAAAACGGTCCCCTCAAACTCTCTGATAAGACAAATGGGGGCGCGCGCGACGGTATGCGTTTCTAAAACTGTCTATGACTATGATTACCTTAATTAAGCATAACGAGTCAGCCTCCTTGTTACCTTGTCTTAAAATTACGGGGGTGCGAATTCTTGCTGGAATCGAATAGCACTGTGCCATTCATAACCTTCGCAGTGTAAAGAAAAGCCACGACAACCGGTTTTCTTAACGGTAGCCGGTGTCCCAATACCGGTTCTACTCGAATAGTGTAAAGGAAAGCCATGACAACCGGTTTTCTCAACAGTGTTAAAGCTAGGTGTGACACTGCGCTATTCCATTTGAATCAGTATTTGCATTCCTCTAGTTGGGATTTAAGAGGTTGACAACCATTGGCTAGAACCTGGGGCACCCGGTCACGAGTGTAGTGTTGAACCTGGATGGATGGATGAATAAATGAATCCGGCTGAGCCCTTTGGATCGGGCGGTAGCTTACGCCACCTAGTGTTAGCTTACGCCAGCTAACCTTTTTCGAGTAACGAGCGCCGTCTGGAAGATTGTCTGCGAACTACAAATGAAGGGCAGTCCAGTATGTATCCGCCCGTCGGAACACAATCGGCATCGTGCCGCTGTTTCGGTTTTCGTTGCTTTTTATGCTCCAGACTACCGATGCGTGAAAAAAATTGTCGAGTAAGACTAAATGCGCTCAAACACAAGCTGGCAGTGTTGGTCGTGTGAGACAGTGCTTTCCGAAAATGGCGACAGCCGGAAGCTTCAAGGGTCGGGGGAGAGGGCACACACATGCGCAGAGGCTTGCTGGGATAGAGATACATTGTTTTCTTCAACGTAGCTTGCATATGATTATGAATTTCTTCTTAAGAGCGTTTTACTTAAAGGGGCCCTGTAATCATATTTAAGCGTCTACCTTTTATGCGGTTTCCACGTCTCTTGGGGTTCGGGCAAGCCAGCGGGCACGGACAGAGTAACTAAATATCAGTGCGTCATATTTTAACCGGACGACACGGAAACCTCCTCCACCGACGAGGGCGGCCCGCGGTACCGAAAGCGCGCAAAATGTGACGTCTTTGGTCCTGGGCTTACTACTGGTCAGAGCCGCTAAAAGCTTCTTTTTGGTCGAAATACAAAATATAAGTGGCGCGGACCTGTTTTAATTATTTATAAAAGTAGTTTTTGTTCACTATTATAGATGAAAAAAAGAAAGAAATGCAGTTTATAAAGTACGAAAACAAGGAATGACCCGTCGACATACCCGCCGCCAAGCGGTGGAAAAGGCGGCGCATACTAGAAAGGAGTAGTGGGATCAGGCGCCGACACGGAAAAATCCCGGATGTACGCGGTGGCGCTGCAGCCGTATGGACAGGAAGATCCGACCGGCTCCGAGCGTTCCGAAGGCCTTCGGCGAAGGGCTTTGTCTTGCGGTTTGGCCGTTTCGCGGTAGCAGCGCGAAGTGGCTCCCATTCTGACCTGATCCTTACCCCGTGTTTGCTGTCGTTCGTGGCCAATGAAGTGTCATGCCGAATTAGTGTTTAATCACGCAGCAAATGCAATTAAGCCGCTTTGGCTGCCCGCTGCATACAGCCTATCCAGAACATGCTTTAGTGACGCCCTCTCGCGCCGTCGATGTGGAGTGCGGCGGCCGTGAGCGCTCGATGAGCTCACTACTCCTCCTCTAGTTCACGGCCACTCAAGCCAGGACCTACGACGTCATGAAGGAGGTTATTTTTTGCTTGTTTTTGTAATTCTAAATTGCCTATAACTTTTAAAATAAAGCGAATTTCGCGAAAAGAAAAGTTTCACTAAGTTACTACGTTCAGTGCGCTCGGGTTCGCTGCAAATTAAAAAGCAGTAAAAAGTCCTTGCAGGGCCCCTTTGTCAACTAGAAGACTCGAGCCTGATCTGATTTTTTTGTACAGGGTGGTAAATGGTTGGACTGATGCTAATCAACTTCTGAATTTTGTAGATTTTCATGATCCTTGTCGCGTTACGAGAAATTTTACTGTCTTTTATATTCAATTCATGTCTAAACTCTCACCACTGTCCCGTATGCAAGTTTCATTTAGTACAATCGCATCGTCAAGCTTGGACATATTCACAGATCTCCTAGTTTTTCGCCGGAACTTGGCAAGTCTAGTTGAAAGTTGAAACTCTATTACATTTTGTGTGAAGTGTGCGACCTACTTGTAGTCACGCTAATTTGTACAATTTAAGCTGTGCGTGTGCTGTGTTTCTTCTATTTGTCTTGTGTGCGCCAATGTGAAGACCCGCGTGGTTGTTTTTGGGCACATTAAATAAACAAATTATTATTATTATTGTTATTATTAATATTATCCGTCAAAGACTCAAATGCCGCGTGTCAAACATTCACGTAGGGCTCTTCGAGTACACAGCCGCGGGTCCCACCACCAAGACGCCCGCTGGCTGCGGCACCGAGAGCTTCGAGAAGTGCGGCACGGACCTGATCATCTTCGCAGGTGGACCCGTCATCCCCGTCTCTAAGGAGGAGCTCGTCACCACCTGCCCGTAAGCGAAGCAGGTTTCTCGGTCCCGGTATATACACTTTTGCTTGCATCGCGTCCCGGCCAGTGTCCCATGCGTTCAAGCACGTGCAGCTTGCGCGTGAAGGTGGCTTTGGCAGGCTCGCAATTTCACGTGCTTCCTCACACCAGCAGGAACATGGCGGCGGCCTGATGCCCTGTTTGCAATTGTCTATATAGACCAACACGCTATCCACAAACAAGCCCGTGTTTTTGCCCACACGCAGGTGTGGACAGTACGCGTGCGCTCGAACCAAATTCGAGCGAAGGAAAGCTTCTGCGCATGCGCCGTGCTTACAGCTGCGCAACCTTAGCGGTATGGCAAGCGCTCTTTATACAACTCGCGTGTTTCTTTTCCCGCCAAATTTACCCACGTGCTTTTGTTTCCCCGCAATTATCAACCAATGAAAGGACGTGCTTGGCTGCCTCGTTGTCATATCGCACGTCGTAGCATCGGCTCCGCAACTCGCGTGTTTCTTTTCCCGCCAAATTTACCCACGTGCTTTTGTTTTCCCGCAATTATCAACCAATGAAAGCACGTGCTTGGCTGCCTCGTTGTCATATCGCACGTCGTAGCATCGGCTCCGCAACTCGCGTGTTTCTTTTCCCGCCAAATTTACCCACGTGCTTTTGTTTCCCCGCAATTATCAACCAATGAAAGCACGTGCTTGGCTGCCTCGTTGTCATATCGAACGTCGTAGCGTCGGCTGCGTTTGGAGTTGAGCTGAAACGAAATATAGCGCTTGCAATCCCTGATGCATGCCCCATGTTGAATGGACGCGAAGGGTTTATTTTGAGCTCTTCGGCAAAATAAACTAATGGTGTGTTTTTGGAGGGTTACCAAGCGTCCATCTTGATTGGGTGGAGACCCTTACGTGTGGGTATTCTTTCTCCAGGAAAGAAAAGACTTCGGAGAAGTGTGCGCGAGCCTACGCCCAAAAATGCCTTGCCCGGTTTCCTCGTGGCATGGTGATGCTTCTCCTCGATGGCATCCGCACCGAGGTGAACGCCAAGTGCAACGACTCAGGTGCCGGACACCAAGGTGCGTCACCGACGCGATCCCATGCTCACCATGCGCGAGGGGGTCTTTTTTTATAATGTGTGACCAGTGGGACCGCGGCTTTAATCCTATTCTTCAAATTCTTCAACACGCGAACTTTTTGTTTACAAGGCTAAATAAATATGAAGAAGCATCATCTAAGAAGAGGACAGGAGAAGGTATAGACGTATAGGTTGGTGGCCGAGTGTGTTAAGTGCCTGGATAAACCTCACGCCAAGTACCGCCAGCCCTTGTTCTGGGAACGTGCAAGACACGTACCACGAGCGGATGCTCCGCCGCCATCCTCGTCTAACCGCCGAATTCAGAAACCTCACTCGAACTACACTCAAACTTAAGGGCCCCTCCACTTCCTCGAGGAAGGCGCGAGGACCGGCGCTGGCCAATCGCGAGGACGGATCCGCCGTCGCGATTGGCCAGCGCCGGCCCTCGCGCCTTCTTCGAGGAAGTGGAGGGGCCCTTCAGAGTGAGGTTTCTGAATTCGGCGGTAAGGACCTCTGATTCTAGTGATGGGCAGCCATTTGCTTCCAAGGGCCGCACGAGGCACGCAATTCGTTCACTGACGCATTTCTCGCTACTTGCAAGACAAACGCAAATATATAAGGGGGCTTTGAAGACCATTCACACAGGCGCGTTTGCTTACATGTTTTTTTGCGTTACGCTATGTATCACCGGGGCATCCGTGCTTTGAACGTTGCGTTCAGAGTTGCTTCTTAAACTGGTTGCCATACTTCATACAAAGTAGATATGTCTCGTGACTCTCGTCGTAAGCAGTCGTAAGCACACGTAAACTCACGTAATGTAACGTAACATAACGTAACGTAACGTAACGTAGAGAAACGAGGCTGTTAGAGTCACTGGATCATGGAAATATCGCCATTGCCTTCCCTGCCTGCCTAGCCGGACACAGACAGATAGTAACATACATACGGCCAAACCTCGCAAGGTGATTGGCTGATCGGGCTTTGTTGCCATGGCGATCACCATTTTGATCTTCCAAGTTTCGAAAGGGTCGTTCCGAAATATTCGCACCAAGGTCTCCATGAAGCATCCTCGTACTGAACGCGTTTTTCGCCAATATTCGGCGCTGCGCATGCCATCCACTTGTCAATAGTGCTTATCTACACATATGTCTTGTTATGAGGCTGTTGCGCTTGCCTATTTAAAGACAGGAAGATTATTTTTCAATGCCACCAGGCACCGGCGGCGCATGTGGTGGCGGTGTGAAGATGTGCGCATGTTTCACCGGTGTGTGGATAACGTACGGTATTCAATAAACGTCTCTTTAAAGCTGCCCCTTCACCAGCGAATTACATCGTCTCGCCAAGAATGGAGAGGCCTAGGAGAAATGGCTCATTCTGTGAACCAAAATGGTGACCATAGGGGGAGCTTAGAGTCACTAAATAAAGCTACGCTTTCGGTGTACCGAAACTCCAAAACTACGCGTCTGAAGTGCGCCAGGCGCCGCCATCTTGGGTCCACGCGCAGATGGAGGAGTGACTTTAGCCGAGCCATGCTGAGTTGTAGCCGTCGCTTGTGCCAGCTGCCGCAGCTGCACCTGTGGAAGCGAATCAAAGTCGTGTTGCTCGTATCTCGACGTAACATGGAAAACGCGCGAGCTGATCGATGGACTTCAGCGTCCGCGCGCTATACACAGTAAACAGCATCAGGCAGAAGACCGCTGGACCCAAGATGATGGCGTTCAGAAATCGTGATGATGATGATAGCGACTCACTTGACTGCCGCTGTCCAATGATGCCGCAGCGAACCAGATTATTGTTGGGTAGAGCGACGCTATTGTCGGCAAAATGCCAAAGAAAAGGAACGCGGTACTTTGAAAGCGTAGCTTATTTGACTCTAGGGGAGCTTGGCTCTATAGTTTTCCAAGATCCCGTGACTTTAGCGTGATAATAATAATTGGGGTTGTGATGGATATTTATACAGCGTGTAGTTGGTCAGCCATTTCAAAGTTGCGACGAGACGAGTCACTCGCTGTAGATGAGCAATTTAGCCAGTGCAGCACAACTGCCAGCCTGGGGTTTTAAACCACGCAGCACTGGTACACGACCGCACGCCGGTACGATGCTCATCCGACTTAGCGTGATCCAGCCTTTAGCGTGCGTTAGCACACCGCCGCTCGGAGCACGTGGATCGAAAGCTCGCGCTCCATGCAGTAACCTGGGTGTTTGGGTTCAGTCTTCACCCTTGCCCTTTTCGATCTGCATAGACATATTAGTGCATCATTAGAATGTCGTGCACGTTAAAGGCCTCCAGTGCTGCACTGGATAAATTTCCCTTCTACAGCGTAAACTAGTGTCGGCATACCTCAAAGACAGACCGACCTGTCGCGTTCTGTACATGTACGTCTAATTTTAGTTTGGATGGCAAGTTCGTACAGACACACAGAAAAAAAAAGAAAAAAAGAAGAGTAATAAGGCATGGTGATCAAAAGCAGCGTGCGAACACTAATAACACCACTTATGCAATCTTTCCTATAATGCCCACCTGGCACTTGCCAAGGGCACTTGTTGAGTACATAACGGGCACTTTAATGTTTCGTCGGGGGGTCTCGAACCCGCAGAAAGTCCTCGTCCGTGAATCAAGATAACGGTTTTCGCTTAGGGCTAGTAGTTGAAATCAGATCTATGCACTCAGTTGTATTTACACGCACTAAATAATACTCTAGATCACGTGATCACATACCGTGTCTATTGGCCCGCTTATGTTCATGCATGTCGGCGCTTACGTAACACGTTCGACGTGCTAACACATTTCCCTGTGTACCGTTGAGAACACTCCGCACACGTAGAGGGTGCCTCGATTGCGTCCTCGTGTTTTTTTTGTTTTTGTTTTATTGAATGGCTCGATGCTTGGAGGCACTCGCCTCGAAGTGAGGTATCTCTATACTCTGTTTCATACTTAGCGTGCAACGCTGTCAAAGTTACTGGCGCGAGCGCGTGGCTTCATCTAGGGCTTTGTTTGCGCGAGAACGCGTGCAAATTATCAACGAGATCAAGCCCCACGCTCGCGCCAGTAGCTTTGACAGCGTTGCACGCTAAGTATGAAACAGAGTATAGGGGCGTTACTTATACGACCAGAATTACGCGAAAGGCATCCCTGAGTTTGTGATTTCTAGAATCCGGAAGTTTTCTATTCGAATGCCCCTGAAACTGGAAGTAGTAACTAACTTTAGGAACATTGACCCATTTCGAAAGATTTAATCGAAATTGTTTTCTATATTGATTCATACTTGGTGACGTTTTTAGAGACTTATTGTAGTGGTATAAAGCAAAAGCCTTTTGGGGCAAACTGTGTTTAGTACGCATCCTGACCTGCAATGAAATAGACTGTTTTTTTTTGTTTTTTTTTAGCGGAGTATTATTGTTGTGTTTATATGGGGTAGAATTCACGTATTGGTGCTGGGAATGATTTATGGTTTTAAATGTTTCTTTTCGGGCTCAAAAATGTTATTTTAGATAGTTATAGTGTAATAGCTACGTTACGTACGTTTGATCCGCGCGAATCAAACCTTACTGTAAATTACATTAAATATTTTTTGTTTTGCATGGCAATCTGTTTTTTGAAAAAGTTTGTTGATCCTGGGATCTTCCTCCTCTGTTGAGGTCAGGAGCAATAGAAAATACATGAAGAAATAAGGAAGTCGTTCAGAGAGGTTACCTTGTTACCCGGATTCGAGAATGCGGGAATTAGGGTAACTCTATTTTCAGAAAGAGTTACCCTCTAATATTATTTTGCTCACACAGTAGTTCATGTAAACTGCAAGAGATTCTTTTTTGTTTGTAGGGCTAACTCAAATCAAACGGCTATCCCTTACTTCTTACAACAAGAAACGTGTTCTGCTGCTTGACAGGCTTCTGAAACTAGTATAACTAAAATGATCTACTTAAATTTTGTTTAAATATTTATACTCAATACTAGATTTTTTTTTAAACGAACAGTTTACTGTCTACCGCAAATCGAAATAATTATTGATTGTGCTTGCTGATTAGTACAGGCCGTACTACGTTAATGGCTTACATCTCCACATTATTTTAGCACAACTCGAATGTAATCAGAAATTTTCTTACATAAACATTACTATCAGAAAACGTAAAACAAAAACGCAAAGAGTTGTTTTTCGGTCATAATTCCTCCCCTTTTTAGTTGTTCCACGGAAATATGTCGCAAACATAATCAGCGAATTAATTCTTAAAAGCGCCATTCCCGCCATCTTTTATATAAACTCGTGAAAGTATATAAACGCTTCACACATGGTGGCATTCATGATTTATTCACAGAATGGGGTTGAGGAACAGGAATTTGAGAACAAATGAACACAAAGAAGGCACTCAATAATGCTTTTTAGATTATATTACACCGAGGTCAACAAGTATTTAATCACTAACTGTCCCAGTGCTTAGCTGAAAGGTCGGTTAGCAAGATATTTGTTGGAGATTTTGAATACTTGTGATAGACGAGCGATCACCATGCACGTGTATGTTGAATAACACAACAGAAGGTCCTCGCTAAATCTCCACTATTGTCGATTCTGTAGCACTGGCAATTGTGTTAATAAACAAGCCCGGAAGCCCGCCAAAACCGCACAAGCGGAAGTTGCTTCTGAGACAGTGTTTGGAAATACTATAGGGTGTTTTTGCTGACGTAATTAGGTCCACCATTTTGTTGTTAGGAGCTGCCTGGCGCTTGCGAAAGGCGAACGTTTGAACGATTCCTCTGGCACCATCAAATACATTGGGGCCTATACTTTTCGTCGCGGGACGTTGTGATGTATCCATTCCTTTAATAAATACGTTTTCTAACTCACTCAACAGCAAAATGGCGTTCTGAGGTCACGCGAAAACACCTTATACTCCGTTGCACTTTACGATGTACCGCAGAGGACGGAGCGAATTATCTCAGTCTAGAGTTCCTGTATAGGCTCCCTACGGGAGCCAGAGTTGCGCGTTCAGCCATCTTGAAATCCTAAGTTATGCGGGAAAGACACTCCTCGCGCGGGTGTAGGAGCCTTGCTCCGTCGATTGCGGTCGGTCACGGGGCTGAATTCGGCGAATAGCGGCGCCGCGCGCGCCGCCGCGCATTGGGAAACAGGAAAGGTGGAGAAGGAGGCAAAATGCAGGGGAACGTACGCCGGGGCCCGTGCAACGTCGACAAAGTGATTTTCCTGCACGGCGCAGGATGCTTCGCTCCTCACGTGATCGATCTCGGCGAATTGCGGCGCGTGGGCACGTGAAAAACAGACTCGCAACTCTGGCTCCCGTGGGGTGCTGTATCTTAGTCAACTTCTGTAAACGTACCACGTGACTACGCGCCTCGCGCGGCGCTGCGCCTCTTCCCAAGGTCACGTGGCACTCACGCAATACTGGATTGGTTCCGATGGCTCCTATCGTCCGCCGCGGTCCATCACGAGGTGAAACGGAGCATGAAAGGGTCTATGCCAATCGGGGTTCGGTGTTGACGCATGCAGAGTACTTGAAGCACTCCGGATGCATGAACAGCAACGGCGTGAAGCTGCACCAGTGCATGAGGGACCTGACCCAAGTCCTGGACCAGAGCGTGGACGCTCCCACCAAGAGCAGGCTGGGACTCTCCTGCTGGTCAGTGAGGGGCATCTGACCTTCGCCGCAATCGCCACGGCGACATCTCAAAGTTGTCGTCACGCTGCTCGTATATCATAAAAAAAGCCACGCTTGTCGCTGCAGACATCATGACAGAATTACCTGCGGACATGAATCATGTTGGAAGCACGTTTGATTCGTACCAAGTTACACTTTGAGTATGTATACAGATAGTTCTTGTATGGCCAATGCGTCACCACGGCTTAATACATCATGCATGACAATCTTGAGTTCTTGCTTCTGTGACGGTTTGGCCATGCAAGGACTGCCTACAGACATGCTCGAAGTATTAGATTGCATGAATAAACCGTGTTTGGAACGTGTTTGAAGCGTGCCCGCAGATGCCATCATGTCTGGAACATGCACCGTGTCTTCTTTATGATGTAGGAACAGTGTGACCGAGGTTTTCGAGTCTCTTGACAGTGTTCCTTGTCGGCCCAAAACCACCTAAAATAATCGAGGCCTGCGAACATTTTCTTTTTCCTCTACGGGACGTCATCAGAGCTGGATCGATGGCGCTAACCCAGCAATCGGACTTGACCCCGTTGCCGAGCCTGCTTCGTCGCGTTGAGGGGCCACGAGGCCCAACCGATTGCTGACGTAGCGTTTGTGTCCCAACTGTGTCTTCGCTCGATCTCACTGTGATGACGCCAGAGTTCCAGTGCTTTGGTTAGTGGTATTGGGAGGGATTGATGCCCAAGCATCGTCTGCCACTGAAAGACGTTCAACGTGTAAGAACAGGAATAGCACAACGGACAAAGGCCATAGTCACTGACAGGATGAGAACAGCAGGGAGGTAGTTCAGTTGTCCAGCCTCCAGCGCGACCAATTCCTACCTTTAGAGAACGCTTCGTCGTCTTGTGGACCTCGAGCGTGCACACGTAGCGAAAGCACGACGAAAGGCAACGAGTCTGTGCTGGAGCATAGCCTCTTCTATTAGCGGCGAGATGTTTTAGTGGCGCCCTCCTACGGTTCCCCCTTGTGACGTCATTACCTTGCAAACAACAAGTTCGATGGTGTTTGTAAATAGCATGGTGGAAGCTTGAAATCATTGCGCTCTTAAAGGAACACTGCCAACACCGTCAAAATTAAAGTTCTTTCATTCCTCTTATTCCCGTCGATGATAAATCCTTTTCTGACATCATAGCCACCGTTCGGCCAATCGTGGAAGGCCGACTACAGCGACGCTTTCGGTCGCGCACGTCGCCAATACTGGGCGCCATATTTATGGGTGCTGTCAAGAACGCGTGCTCAGAACGAGCCCCCATTAATAGGCTGCTAAGACCGGCCATTTTGGCGGTGTGGAATGTACGTTGCAAAAGAACCCTGGAAGCTAGCCATCAGCACGCGCTCCGAAGTCGCGCACACAGCTATGGCCGCCAGTGAATACTTCCTATAAAGTGCCCGGTTGCAGATTTGGAGCGCGATGACCTGGTAGCCCAGAGCATCACAGAGCCATTTCTCGAGGAACCTGGACGTCAGCGCTCAGCTTTTGCAGCGGCGTGGACCCGAAACACACTTGTTTGCTCGGGAGAAGTGTGTTTCCGCGTGTCACCGCAGCGGGGCGCCAATCACGTGGCTTCCCTTTCATCTGTTGTCTCCCGTTCCACCTTTTCCATTTCGGCGGCCGCTTCTCAGGGCGACCTGCCAGGCTTCATTACTATACAGGAGGCTATGGCTGGAGGCAGGGCAGACGAAACAGACGCCCTGCTGTTCGCATTCTGTCGGCGATTGTTAAGTACAGAAGGCAAGCGCTTTTACTCTCTGTCCACTTCTACTATCGAGGGCATTCACTGGACGACGATATCTGAGATTGTGCTCAGAACGAGCTTGCATTAACAGACTGCCAAGACCGGCAATCTTGATAATGCGGAATGCACCTTGTGAAAGAACTGTGGAAGCTCGCCGTCAGCTCGCGGTCATCAATTGCGCACAAAGCTATGGCTGCCAGCGAATAGTTTCTGTAATTCGAGTCAAGTCACGCCCGGGCGCCGTCGACGCGGTGTAGACTGTTTTATCGTGGGTAGCGCTATTTTGAGTGCGAGAGAGAAGAGGGGAAAGGGCTACCGGCGCTTTCGAGCCAAGCCACTTCGATCGCAGCGCCACCATGCCTACCTTCCACATTTTGAGCTTCAACTGAAAGCATGAACGGAGCCCGTAGATCTCCCCGCTTAATTATTCCTAGTTCACTGTAACAATGAAAGGATTTTTCAACTTATTCCTCCTTAGCTTTAATACTCAACTCTAAAGCGAAATAAAAAAAAAAAATCACGTGGTCGTGACATGCTTGGGCACCGATCGATGCCTACAAGCTTCCAGCTTGCTCTTTAAGCACACCGTGGAACTTTTCGTCCGCAAGGGATGATAAGTGCCGTCACTGCACTCATTGAACCACTAACGCACAATCCAAATATTCGTCGACGGATTGATTGTTCATGAGCGCATGCGTCCGTATGACGCAGTGCTCGCGCCCAATGCGTGAGCTGGGGTCGGCTGACGTACGTGCTTTGGGTAATACCGCGGATGTATCATAGTGGAAAGGCGGGAGAGCCTTCGAAGGAAAGGAGGGAAGAAACAGTCCGCTATATTTTCAGATTTTTGTACCGAAATTCAGGCTTTTGGCTTTCTATCCTCGCGTATACAATTCTTCTTTTGACGCGCTAGACAATATGTGTTTAGTAAAATCCCAATCTATCCAAGCCCAAAATTAATTGCATGTTCCTTTTAATGCTCTGTTACTGTCATTTGCTTTTTCACGTGTGGTAATGTTCGAGGGATGTAAATTGCGTTTAAATTAAAAAAGAAGGAGTTTTATTAGTTTTTATACACTATTTTAAACACTGTATAGACGGGCCTTCATATCAAAGCCATTCAAAGCGCAATACATTAGCTTCTGTTGTATTATCGTGACAATAGAGAATTTCCCACGTAAAAATAAAACGCAGAACCAGACTATTGCGGGTGAAACAAGCAAAAAATTGTGAAGGCACGAACAGTATGCAGTTCATTGCGCGGTAGTTTTTGTATATACCGAATTCTCAATGCATTATTTACATTTTTTTAAAGAACGTTTTTGTTATTGCGAAGAGATAGCCACGACAGGTGGCTAGAATGGCGTATTGCACCTCCGATCGCAAACCGGTATGGCCGTGGCATCTTGAACGTGAAAGAATCTCCCTAAGAATCTCTCGGTGAAAACTTCCTTGTCCTTCGGGCAGGAGTGATTAACTTTGTCTCGGTTACTGTTGAGGCGAGCAGCAACAATTAGAATAACATCGGCCACTCCTCCTACCAGGACGGGGTGTCTTGAATGCCGGCGCTTGCCGCATGCTTTTTCCTTGACAAGGCTTCTCGGATGCCGTCGCGTTCTACGCCGAGAGAAAATATTTAGCGACGCGTTTGTTTCCTTTATTGGTCGAAATGTCGATGCCTCCTAAGCTATGAAACGTTTCTTCGTAATTTTTAATACTTTTTGTATAGCTGTGAAGCTCGTAAAAAAACACTTAGTTTTTGCTCAGCAAGGTTCAAGGATACTTGTAACTATACTCGGTTTATTTCTAAGCTGAAAGCGCCGTGGAAGCTACGCGCACGCCGAACCAACCCGGCGCCTCCCTTTGATCACATTACTCCTACTCCCATGGCGGTAGCGCGATCACGTGGTGAGAGATATACGTGTGACTGGTCCAACAAGAATGGCTAGTCGGGCTAGATGGTTTTGCATCATGGTGTAATTAATACGTCAAAAAACCACGGGCGAAAATGAAGGGAGAACTGGAGAGCGTAACTTTCAACTGAATGATTTATTTAGATGAAATACTTTTAAAAATATAAAAGTCGGCACGCTTAGCAGAACCCAAAGATGTCATCTAACCCCCCCCCCCCCCCCCCCCCCCCGTCTTTCTCAAATACCACCGTTTCAATTAGTAGAATTCTTTATCGGACAAGGACAAAGAGGGTGCACCTACACAAAGAGTTGTCGTGGTGGGACTTGATCATGAAGGCTTCGTGAATTCGTGATTACCGTATTTACTCGAGTAATAGCCGCAATGTTTATGAAAGAAACCTAAAGGTTCGCTTTTCCGCAGAGCACGCGGATTGCCAATCACCGCGATCGACAGCATGATTCCAGCGGTTTACAGGACAGAGATAACGTCTTCGCGCGAAGATACCATCTGTGAAGATTGCATTTGAATGAAGAATCGTGTTCTCGATCTGGGTATTCGCTATGTTATTTATGCACAACGCGATGATTGGCTGTATATGTGCTTTGCGGGAAAGTAGATGCAAGGGCCTTGCTCATAAATATTGCGGCTATTACTCGAGTAAATACGGTACAAAACAAAAACGGCCAGATAAATTGAGGAAGCTTTCCCGATTAAGTCCCACCACGACAACTCTTTGTGTAAGCGCACCTTCTTTGTCCCTGTCCGATAAAGAATTCTACTAATTGAAGAACAAATGACGGTGGTATTTGAGAAAGAGGGGGGGGGGGGGAGGGGGGTTAGATGACATCTTTGGGTTCTGCTAAGTGTGCCGGTTTGTTAATTTTAAAAGTTTTTAATACAAATAAGCTATGCAGTTAAAAGTTACGCCGCGTCCTGTCCAGTTCTCCTTTTTTTTTTTCGTCCGTGTTTGTTTGGCGTACAACACCATGGTCCAACAAGCGCGTAGCGTTCAGCGCACTGTCAACCGCGGTCAGGCTGCGAATAGCTTGTACAAAAGACGGGCTGTAGACGCTGCCTATGGGGGGGGGGGGGGGGGGGGGGGGGGGGGTTCATCCCTTTTACGTCAGTCCTGTCACATTAGTAATTAAAACACACTGTCTGCAGATATGAGCAGTGTGACTCAGGCTTTATGGGTGAAGGGAGTGTAGGAATGGCCTGAACCAGCTCAGTCGTCGAGGTTCGAATCGACCAAGTTCGACTTTTTCGAACTTTTTCACGCAGAAAGTTCGAGGAACGTTCGACTGACGTTTCGACTATCATGCGCATGCGCGGAAATGCAAAACAAACCCACGCCCTCTGGCGGTGAAGGGGGCTCAATATTAATAGCGCGGAACGTTTGACATTAACAATCTAACCAAATTATTTTAAGGTTTGTTCGTTTTGTGTTATACCTATAAAACAAGCTATCCTACGTGCTGCTTTTTTTCTCTCTAAATGTTTGACTTTTTTGTGCGGGAGTCGGGCAACACTGTTCAAGAGTCAAACTTTGCGTATAGGGTAAGGAATATGGCGTAGTAAGGTAAGAGAAGGAATCATTTTTTTTTTATTAGGTGGCGCAAGCTACAGCCCGTTATAAAGAGGACAGCCGTTAACGTCCATCTATCCGTCCATATATCCGTTCGTCGAATTTTGCAAGAAGTTGGAAAATTCGGCGATCCGATCGAACCTCAGGTTCGCGAAAGTTCGCGTCATCCCTAATCGTAACCTTCTTTTGGCGCGCTGCAGTTCTTTTAACACGTACAAGACCTGCATGACGGAAGCTGTGAAATCACCGTGCGGGACTGGTACCACGGCCTACGTGGAGAAGCTCATCACGGGATACGCTGGTAAGAACCGAATTCGTTTTCTAATGAAGCTTTTGCGGCTCTTGATATCTTTATTTTATTCACCAGGCTCGGTCATATATCGCTCCTATCCCAGGTATCACGCCAGAGAACTGCCCAACTTGGCACATACTTTGCAATCCTACAGGGGTCTGACTTGGGCCTAAAATGGTTTTGCTCCAAGGCGTCAATTAGTGCCAGGGTAATTTCCATCGACGTTTTTAGGGCTTTCTTTTCTGGCTCCGCACATAATTGCTGAGGTGCTAGACTGAGCCAAAAATGCCACATATGAACCGAAGGACCAGGAGAGAAGCCTAATCTTGGCACTCGTTGGGTGATTTGGGCCCAAATATGATAGCCAAAATACGAGTAATGAAACCTCGAACTACTTGTTCTGAAGATTTGAGATTAACTTTCATCAATCAATAAATCGATCAATCAATTGATCAATCGATCGTTCAGCAATCAATCATTGTTAATTAAAGTATCCAGGAACAACAAACTGGTTTTAGAGCTGGTGCTGGCATACCTGAATATAAAACATAATTGCAGAACCTGCCTGACACCAAAGTAATAACAAATTCAGAGGGCATGTCAGTGCCAGCTCACAGTCGAAAGAACAAAATAGTGACACCAACAAAGCGTCTGTATTCTAAGCAATAGAAATACTATGCCGCACCGATATACAATCATACATTTCAGCCGTGTTCAAGCCTGGACACGTTTTTACCAGAGTGATAAATTGTCCTTTTGCGCGCGCTAAAAATGTTACTTTTAGGTTATTTTTAGTATGGTCTGGTAGGGGACCAAGATTTTTAAAAGAGAAACGCAATGTTTATTGTTTTTTTGATGTCGTGACTGTCATTATTAGTAATTAAACAACTGCGAGCTATTTAATAAAATCGTAAAAGAATATGGCTATACAAATTGACCAAAAATAAACAACTGCATAAACAAACATTCTTGTAGCGTTGCAAAACCAACCACGGGAAAAACCAGGAGATAACACATGTATATTATATACGTGAATGTAGTAATACAATATCGAAACGAGTGCAGTAATACAATATCAAGAATGCCAAGATAGAAGACAACACTGCCGCTCGTCTTTAGACAGTCTTTTACAATCTACGTGCACCGGATTGCGTGCGAGGTGTTTGCCACTCAGGTGAAACGAAAACACCGACAATGAAGATTGGGAAAGGTGTGCTACCCTGAGGGGTCTGGTTTCAACTTATAGATGAGAAACTTAGACTTCAGAGCTTGACTCTCTGATTTTTGTTTCAGTGTATAGTTTTCTACCTGCGCAGATCTTGTCGTCTATACTCGGTTTCGCTTTAAATTCTTGCCTACTCACCTCTTTTTGTTAAAGGAACGGACAGCAAAAGTTTATATGAAACGAACAATTTAGACTAAAAAAAAAAAAACTCTTTTTCTACTTCTAGGTGTCATCTCTCTTTCTAAATCAGGATTTCTGGTTTGAGTCCCACTGATCTGCAGACGCGATGGAAGCCTTGCAGGATTCATATAGTTTTCATCACTCCTGTAAATGCATATGAAACTATTGTCTGCTTCCTAAAGATACGAAAGGCTTGAAGGGCCCCTGAAAAAAAATAAAGAAAGATTTTACTTTTAACAGTCTTGTTGGGACACGCGTCCCAAAAAAATAATTTTACGCGAAAAATACATTTTTTTTTTTAGATCAACATTGACGGCGCTTGACGCGATTTAGTCGACAGTCACCTCCTTTCCACTTGTTTTATCTCTCGGCATTTTGGGCGCGTGGAGAAGAGGTGGATCGGCTTCACGTTCACGACCGAGATGGTCATTCCGGAATTACCTGTGACGTCGTGTGCTTCGCGCGCAGAATTTCAAATAAATCTGTGGTCGTCAATATTGCTCTAAACAATTTTGTTTTCGCGTAAATTTTTTTTTTTGACACGCGTGTTTCAATTAGATTTAAATTTGTTTTCTTTTCAGGGGCTTTTTAAGGACTCGTCGTCACATATGCCTAAGCATTAATCCCTTAAAAAAAAAGAAAAGAAAAGAAAATGTTTTGTATCTCTTTGTTGGCTAAAGCGGACATCTGCACCTGAGTCACGTTGTTTTAGCGTAAACTCTCACAAGCGACTGCTTTTTTTTTTTTTTTTCTTGGCTAAATGGAGTGTTTGTTTTTTTGTGAAAAAACAAAACAAACGGGAAAACTACCCAAGGTAAACGGAGCAACAGGGGTGTGTTTTTCCAGTTGCCAGAGAGCGCGCTAAACAAGCGACGAAACCGAAACGCTAGTTACATCCGTGGTCGTGCTCGATTGTCCTTAGCAGAGTGGCGCGAGTGACACCCGTTATTACGAGGCAAGGGGTTAAACCACGTCCGCAGCCTCTCAGGCTAGGTGGCGCAAGCTACCGACCGTTACAAAGGTTATAGCCATTACCATTCATCCATCCATCCAGCCGATGCCGCGATCAAATGGAGAGCCAACCAATCAGCGCCAAAAGAGCATCGCCTCACCAATCACGCACAGAAAAGAGCGCACAATCGCGGCGCATTGAACTATGCGTGATTAGTTTAACTGGTGCTAGCAAACCCACAACGATGACGAGCGCCGTGACTATGCACTTTTGGCGCAGCCTGATTGGCTCCATCCGGTCATAGCATCGGCTGCTGTCGGACTTAAAAGGAAACTGAGTATGCGTAGAGCAAGTCGTCTGCTTCTTGGCAGGAGTTGTGGTGACGTCTGAACGAGATCGAGGTGTGATTGGCTCTGATTGAAGGATAGTGGGTAGACCTCAAAGCAAGCTGCCTTGATGTCTACCCACTATCCTTCATTCAGAACCAATTAGAGCTCGGCGTTATGACGTCACCAGAATCCCTGCAAAAGAAGCAGACGAACTGCGGTCCGTGCAGGTCGTGTTGGCCGAAACGCTTACCAGCAGCCGCACGTTTTCTTTGCAGGCGATCTCCTGGACACCGTGTGCATCAACTTCAAGGCGGGCACCGATGCTTGCAAGGCGCTACCGTCGTTACCCAAGTCCACCAAGACGGGGCGATCGGCGTCGCTGCTGTCTCCGCTGGCGCGGATCGTGACGAGCCTCAACGGTTGAGGGTGCTTCTCCAGTCGATTCCGCTCAAAGAAAGATGAAGTGCGGTCTAGCCCAGGAACCGCGCGTTAGAGCTCCGTGTCTCCTGCAGACGTCGTTTCGTAACCCGAGAGCTCTTTTTGGGGGTTGGCGTCTCGCGGTCCGAATACGACTTCTGTTTTTCCTTCTCGTTTCGTGATTCATGGCGGACGAAACTACCAAGTAAGACAAGCTGTAATGACGAATTCAATTCTTCACATCCAATGTGCCGTGCGTTATTAATGTTGAGCCTAGACGCGTGAGAGAGGTGCCTTATCTGTCTCCTTGGTTGTTAGTTACTCTTTGCAGAGGGCTCGATAACTGAAGTATCGAGTGCTTTTTGTTTGCATTTAAAACTAGGGCGCTGGCTCGTACTTTACTTGTATTAAAACTTCGTTTCCACAAATCAATTTTATTTTCGTGTCATGTCTCCTCAATAAAAATGAATCTGTTCATGTTGATGCAGTTGTAGTAATCTAAATACAAAGTGACTGCTGCCCAGTCTTGTACACGTTACTAAAAAAAAAAAAAAGGAATCGAATACAATTACTATTACTCTTTGCTAAAAAGTATTCGATTAGATTACTTGATTACTCGACAGCAAAAATAATTGGACATTACTTTAAGAAGTAACGGTTACTTTTCCGATTACCTTATTTTGTGAAGTCTTAGATCTTTAGCGCTCATAACAATGAACTACTTCCAACCTATATTTCACATTTTCCCAAGTACTGAAAAAAACAAAACAAAAAACGGGCCCCCTCTACAGCATCAGCCATCTCTGTGCGCTGCATCATGGCATCATCGGTTTTTCTAGCTGCGAAATTTCTAGCTGTGTCGCAATCGCTATTTCACCCGAAACATCTCCACTGGTCCCTGATGAATAGAAACTTAGAGTGCTTCTTGGAATCTCTGGTTTCAAATAAAAGGTATTTTATTTTATTTTCATGCTCTATATATTTTCTTGTACTGGCAACCAAGAGGCCCTTACTCTCTTTCGCACACACACGCGCTTCTCCAGATATTATTCACATGTGGATGAACTCGCATGTTATACAAAAGAGCAGTTGCTCCAGGATTTGTAACGGATCATGCGTAGTATCTATTAGCGGAAGAGATCGCCCCGACCACTTCTCAACTCGAAACCTTGCTTGTCACAAAGACCACGTAGGGGCAATACGGGATCTTGACGTCTATTTGAACTGGCTTTGTTATATTTTGCATCCGCTTGAGTCATTCTTCGGTTCTGGTTCTCCTACGGGCTGCGAGTAGGTAACGTAAACGAAGAACTTACAAAGTTACATTCTGCTCCCTCAAACTTCGCCCTGAATGATCTTTGTGACGCACTTGGGCTCCCCTGGGGCTTCCCACTTCCAATCCCAGCTAAAAAAAAAAAAAAAAAAAAGAAAACCCGGGCATATTAAAGAAAACTGTACATACAAGGGGTTTACCCTCTGTTTCCTACAGCTCCGCAAAAATCTATTTTTTTTCCGTTCGAAACAACAAGCAAATTTTATTTTTGTCATTTCAGAAAAAGAAAGGTGTGTGCGGGGGGAGGGTCTCGCGCAACGGTTAAAAGGTTAACGGTTAGAAGTAATTTACATTACTTCAAAAAGTAATCAGATTACTCTTGTGATTACTGCCTAATAAGAGTAATCAACTGATTACAAAATTACTCCAAAAAGTAATCGATTACAAGTAATTTGATTACTTGTAATGCGTACGGTACAAGTCTGCCAGTGCTTCCCAGTTTTAGTTGATTTACTCCTGTTTATCGAGCGGCACTACACTCTAAAATAAATCTCCTACCCATCTTTCTTCTTCAAAGAGACTCGCTCTCCAGGAATCCCTGAATGGCTCCATCTAGAATACTTGAGCCGGCTGACGAACGGGTCTTCCATGTTCATAGACAACGTTCGTATATTTCTTCTGCATGCTGATTCAGTCCCATTCAGAATCAGCGGATACATTGCTTTGGTAACCCAGTCATTCTTTGAACATAGCACTCCTATGTTTGCAATCAATACAAAGACCACGAAGAAAACGACGTAAGAAATATGAGAACATTCTCTTCAAGAAGAATTAAATACAATTTTCTCAAGAAAACCAGATGTGTCTGGCTGTCTCTCCCATGATACAATTTATTGCAGTAAGAAACATATGCCGATAATGAAGACTAACGTTGGTGTGTGGGTGTGTGTGTGTGTGTGTGTGTCTGTGTGTGTGTGTGTGTGTGTCTGCGTCTGTGTCTGTGTTTGTCTGGGGGGATTTTCTATGGTGCTTGAGTGCAAACATTACCCGCAAGGTTCGTCGCAAACATCCAACGTGTTCAATTCGTGTGCTAGGCTCACTGACGACGTTCGCACTGGTCCTTTGGTTCAAATAAGAATGGTCAGGAGGTTCACCAAGCTCCAGCTTATCAGCGTTGAATGAGAGCTCTTTTTATTTTTTTTCGAAAAAATTGCTGGAAATGAGGTTTATATTTCAAGCTTCATTCGGTCACTTTTTTATGATCGAGCCCAAATTGTGCGGCTTGATAACACTTTATAAAGTTTTCCTATACCAACGGCAATCTTCTTTATTACGCCCTACTTTTTTACGGTAGAACGCCGACTTCGTTAAACTCTAACTGAAACACGTGTTTGCCTCGAATAATATATAGGATTCACTGACGTCATTGCATTATGTTGGTGGCCATTTCTCTTGTTCTCACTGATATCAACAAATCTGATGGTGCGAAATCTGTACTCTGCAGGATGTACGCGCTGGCCAACAAGGACACCACGATGCGCGCTGACCAGTTGTGATTGCAAATGTTGTATATAGACTGAGTATGATAAGTCAGTGGTGTCAGTGCACTAAAAATATTAGGCCCGCTCTCGTCGTTCAAGGCTGCAGCACAATGGTTGACTGCAGGCGCTCGGGGGACTGCCGTGAGTCGGCAAAATGATTCATGCAATCCTGGAGCCATTGTTTGTCAAATTCAGACACAGGTGCCCCGCTTTTGGGGAGCGAGGCTATTTATTGGGTACTGTTTAAAAACGGGTAACAAACGTTTCGGGGTGGGCTATCTTTCGGGATACTGCTGTGATCTTTGCCGATTATTTCAACACGAAGCGCGTCGCGAGACCGACAATACAGGCTACATGTTTCACAATCAGCAATTTGTGTCGCTTTCGTTCAGAGTGACCAAAACTACAGCAATGACCGGGGTATACCGACACAATACTTAGATCATCACTGCTTTGCAAATCTACTTTTTGCATTGCTTGGCACGTTGCGTATGGTGAACCCTTTTCCCGGTGTCCTTGCCGTTGCTGTCGTTTCGGTCACTCTGAATGCAAGCAATGCAACTGGAAGAGAACTTATTTTCAAATGTCAACTTTCCGGTTCAAGCAGGCAGCTGGCTCGGCGGTTCCGTTGCTGGCAATAGCCCGATGTCACTACCCAGTTTGGATACGCCACCGCTGCCGCCACGCTTTGAGAGAACTTTAGTCCTTCTGCACGTGTCACAACCTCGCTGGAGCTCTACGCGTGCAGAGTACGAGACATCTCGGGAACTGCTGCCTGCCTCCTGTGAACTAACCTTATGGTGGATTCACGCATGCGCCGAACGCTTGTTGAGATCGGTCTATTGATTGCTCGGGTTACAGCACCCAAGTAAGAAGCATTCCCGAGGCCACACTGACATTCCTGAATACTCTGTCAGCCGCATTCATGGACGCGCCACAGATTATCAGCTGGAGAAAGTTTTCTCGACGAGTAAAAGCCCAGCTGAAGCTCGTTGAATTATCGAAGCACGTGACACGTGAATGACATTGCCCAACGTATTTTTCTCTTCTCTCACAAAGAACGTTGCGGCCGGATGTTTCGCAGTCGATAACCGAAGGGTCCAGTAGTGTTACGTAACAGAGACCCATTATTGAGTTTTTTACTTTGTATGAATGCATGTATATACACAATTTGTTCTCGCACGTGTCGGTCCTTTTAAACTCTTAAGCTGGGATGTTTCCTTCTTTGGCAACCGGAGAACAAAACATACTTTGCGTAACGCTTCGAGAGATGGATGAGCTCATAACTTATTTTGTAGTCGGGTAACAATTTTGATTTAAACGGGTAGCATAATTTTGATGCGGTATTATTTCATGAGATTAATTTCTCAGAGGAAAGTGCACATCACCCTTTCTGCGTGGCCTTGGCTCACGCTGCGAAAACAGCGTCCGAACGACTATCAAGCAAATGGTACATGATAGACACGTAAAAATTCGGAATCAACAAGCTTCGGCCAGACGAAATTTTCCTGGTGTCGTTGCAGCGTTAAAAGTAACACTTCATTATAAATGTAAAATATTTCCTCTAAAGACTGGTAGCGACTGGCCAAAAACGGCGTGACCTTTGTCCCTCTTGTTCCCCTTTTCCAGAGATTATTTTCGTCATTCGTGACAAAATAAGTGGACGGATATTTCCGCTTTTTTTAAGACAGCTAGACGAAAGTTGCCGTATGGTATCGGAAGTGACACCTCACACCCCATCTGCGATTTCTCTGCAGTTTTACCTTTCCTAAATAAGGAACTTTAGTAGACCGTTTCAATATTCCCGATAACCAGGTGTATCGGTGACCGAGTCTGTTATCAGATCACAGCTCGGAGCACGTGGAGCGAAAGCTCGCGCTGCAGAACCCAGGGATTCTGGGTTCAACCCCCACCCCTGCCCGTTTCGGCCTGGATGAGCATCGTACCGAGCGTGCGGTCGTGTATCACTACTGCGTGGTGCACGTTAAAGACCCCAGGCTAGCGGTTTGTACTGCACTGGCTAAACTTCTCATCTACAGCTAAGATACAAGTCGCCCGTTTAGACAGACGCACAACGCAATTTGATTTTTTAATGCGATAGCGTTATGGAGCTCGCGTCCCAGAAAGGCCGGCGTCGGTGGCGTTTTGACGGGGAAATTTCGATTGCTCGATAGGACCTTGCCGCCACAGTGACACGAATTTCGAACAGCCCACAACGCTCACGTGAAACGTAGCGTCACGCGTGGAATTAAAGTGATTAGAAAACATTACATCTAATACGAATTAAAGGCCGCCGCATGTCTGAATAGATTTAGCTTCATAAAGTAATTAATTAGCCTTAAAAAGTTTCAAGAATTTTCGGTGGGATTCGGACCCACGACACTTTAAATTGCGAGCCAGACACGCTACTGACTAGATAGACCATGACCACCGCACTTTATTTTCACTGGAAGGAAGACCATGAGAAGAGAGTGGGAAGGCGATTCGAACGGGACCCGATAACGCTATCGCGTTCCACGCATAAAGGCGAAGATTAAAAGTCCTCGCATTTTTTTTTTAATTTTTTTTATGTTGGTTTTACTTACGATTTACAAAGTCGTGGGTGCTTGATTTAGCCGAGCATGCTCTTATATCACCGCCATTAGAGCGGCAGTAGTGGAGCTTTTGGGGCTGCCACAAGATGACCTTTTTGGAAAGGATCTATCCCCACCATTGCCCGTCTTGATCTGGATGAGCATCGTACTGGCGTGCGGTCGCGTATCGTTACTGCGTGATGCACGTTAGAGAGCCTAGGCTAGCATTCGCGCTGGACTGGCTAAATTTCTCATCCACTGGCTAAATTTTTCAACGAGGTCGCGATATTGTGCAATACTAAATTTCCACTGTATACAAACAACTTACGAGCAATTTTTTTTAAATAACTATATTCCACACTAAGCCTTGCACACGTATCATATCGTTGTCCAGTATGGCTATCGCAGTTATCGCAACAATTTACTAAAACTTCCTAATAAAGTTAAGCAATCTACATAAACAAGTAATGTGTTCTTTTAGCATAAACATTTTGTAGACATGTAGACTTAGGAAACTCCTTTCTCGAAAGTCGTAACTCTGGATCTCTGCGGCTTGTGAACTTTTGCAAAGTGACTCTGACATTACCTTATCGTGGTGCCAAACGTGGAAGACGACTCTCAACTATAAAAAGGGAAATTTAGTCAGACTTGCTTTCAAGAGAATACCTATAACTACATATTATATATATATTTTTTTGTAGCACAATTTTAGTTCTTGCATCAGAATATGAGTATTTAGGCGTTTTGTTTTACAGCAAATTATCTTGGAATGCACGTGTTAGTTATTTACCCACTAAGCCTAGCCGCCTGCTAAATGTTCTAAAACGTTTTTTAGGCGGGTACAGCTTCGATGAATCTTATACATGTCGAACGTGCGTCCGATTTTAGAATACGCTTGAACCGCCAAGGACATTCAAGATAAGTCAAGTTGAGACGAGCTTGAGCAGATACAGAAACGAGCAGCACGGTTTGTCTTAGGCAACTTTGATATCTCTGAAAACTCTTCTGCTATATGTGCTAAGTTAGGGTGGCCCTTGCCTGCAACCCGGCAGAAACATCTTAGGTTGTCATTGTTTTATGACATATTTAATGAAAAAAATGGCATCGATAGATCCCAATACATGAAATAACCATTCTATGTATCCCCCCCGTACATACCACAATCTTGAAATTTGTAGAGACATGTGCTCGAAATAACATGTGCAGACCAAAGATATCTAAGTACAGCTTTACCCGAACAGTCCGTGAGTGGAATAACCTTACTGCTAAAATTGTATCTAATTGTACTTTCCCGTTTTTTAGAGCTCTCCAACACCCGCTGTTCAACTGGTTATCGCAATGCCAGATCGACTTCTGTTAATATTCGTTTCCTTGAATCTGTCTCTTTTTCTTATATTGCAAAGTGGCTGCGATGTCACTTTCATTTCAAATCCTACCGCATCATCAAATTTCTTTCACATTTTTCTCTGCATTTTGTTTCACAATTTCTATTGTCTAGCCCACTACAGCACTGCCCTAGCTAGGGCGATGTAGTTATTTGAATAAATGAATAAGTAAATGGTGAAAAAATATGACAACTTCGGAACAAAATCGTAATTGTAATTGTGTTATGTGTGTAATGTGTTTGTTTGCCTCAAAGCGTCTCTGCTGTAAATGAAGCATTTTGCCATTGCGGTGCGCTTGCTGGCCTGGGGTCTTTAACCTGCATCACGCATTTGTGGTACGCGTGACCGGACGCCGATACGATGCTTACCTATAGATTTAAACGTGCAGAGGCGGGAACAGATCCTTTTCGAAATGCAGACTGGCAACTTTGATCACTATCGACATCTGAATGTATGGCATCCGTGCCACGCTAATGACGGCCTTCTTGAGGCCGATGAGGGAAGGCGTTGATGACACTGTAGTCCTGACCTGCCCGCAGAAGACTGTGCCAGCGCGCGCCTTGTAGTACAGGCCACGGCCGCAGTGTTTCGTCACGCTATGACTGCGCGGCGCTACGGAAGTGTGTTTTTGTTTCCTATAGGGTAGCCGCATATCAAGTGAAGGCGCGCAGGGTGCGGCTGCGTTATCTGGTCCTGACCTTACTTTGAGTTGGCTCTCCTCTGGGGATCTGGTCAGTGGGTGCGCGACAGTTCCGTCACTAGGGGCGCCGGCTCCCAGCACAGTGGCTATCCTTGGATGATCCGAGAACTCACCTTAGTTCGACGTAGTCGTTTGCCGAAGTTGCACCCCTTTTGTGCAAACAATTTCGGCAAACTACGGAGCTGGATGCGTATTATTAAGCAACTATAGAGAGTTGGAACTTATCGAGCGGCTCCGTATGTGTCTCTAGGGGGTGCGTTTCGTACATTTACCTTCTGACTGGTGATATAATTTTTTACTCCACGTCTCAATAAGACCAAGTTATTTACTGATTATACCGGACAGGAACACGTACGAGAACAGTTTTGAAGAATGATTTTTATTGCGATACGAAGGACCATACGTTGGTCCCAAGCACCTGCAAGAAATCCCGCAATTAAAGAGGGTTAACTGCCTCGGGGGAAGGCGGCATAAAAGCCTGACGGCGATGCAGGAATTGTGCAATCACGTGATTTCACAATTGCCGCATTGTCGGCTAGGCTCTGCGTGGTTACATGTTCAGGTTACATGCAGTACTGCATGTAACCTCTGGTCTGATCATGCACGTAACCTTTACATGTTACCCATGCACCCTTTCAGTACTCCAAACGCACGTTTGTGATTTGCGGTAATTTCGAAAATCTAATAAATCCGTCGAGATAACTGTCACTACCAACTAAAAAGTGCCCGTGCGCTTCTCCCCCTCCCCCCTCCCCCCCCAAAAAAAAAACAAAAACAAACAACAACAACAACAAAAAAACGCATTCTCAATTTAAGCGACAAAGGAACCGACCCCTTTTTGCTGGCGCCGCGCTACGGCAGAATATGGGCCTTAACTTGTTTCCGAACGGCGGTATCGCGGTAATCAGCTCCGCACAAGAGACAGTAGGGAATTGTATACTGTAGTAGACCGTTTCCGCAGCCCGCTAAGCACCCGGATAGCGCTCCGTAATCCGCCACAAGACCTTGAACTATGAAGAGAAGGCTGGCGGCGCGCATGCGCAGCTGCGGCGTTTTCTTCGGGGATACCGTAGCGGAGGAAAAAAAAAAAACGATCTACTATAGCTCCATATTAGGGACTTTTAGGAAACCGTTGCCATGCTCCGCGTACCGGGTGGTACCGTGATGGCGGGGCGCGCGCTTAAAAGCGTGCCTCAAAGACTCCGGTAGTGCGGTACGCGGAGCATGGCAGCGGTTTGCTAAAGGTCCCTATTGTGAATTACATGAGGGTCGCACAAAAGCGTTTACTGCGCGCACTCAAAGGCGAAAAGAAGCAGTTCATCGGCGACAACCCCTCCCACTCATTGTGCATGTCAGGATTACAGCAGGTCGTGCGTGATACAACCAAGCGGAAGATTTGTGAGGTCTCTACATTCGAAACGTGAACGCGACGCACGAATTAGATACAACGGCTGCGTAAACGCTTATATCAGAGTGTGGTCCGGTCAATCGCTTGGCACAAGTTTGTCAGTAAGGCCTTTTTGATGGCGGGAACTTCGTCTTTGTAGTTGTCAGTTTGTACGTTCACACCATCGAAACTGAAGCAAATCCATAAATAATTATCAGGAAATCGATGACCCAATTCTTATGCCAATGAGGTAAAGGTGACGGTGCCCGATGCAATACAGTTTCGTGACCTTCATTAGTCTGTCGTAAGTGAAACTGCTTTTCCAGCCACCAGATGCGCACTAAATTTTGAAAAAGAAGTCTATTGAATCCAGGATTCATGCGTTCTGCAGCGCGAGATTTCCATTTCAAGCTTTGGTAGGTCCGAATGACGTCGAGACATTCCCGTGCGTTTTCCTCCTGAAATCGCATCTCTCTCATTATTAGATAACCGACTGATTGCCACTCGCAGCTTACAATGCTCGAAATATATAGGTCTGTCTTGTTTTGTTTTTTTTTCTAACTTTGCTCAACCTTGACCCTTTGCTTACCTGGTTGCCACGCAAGAGAAAAAGCATTAAGAAACGGAGCACGCCACGGTCATTCCAAAGATTCGCCAGGGCTCTTAAAGTGCACGATGGTACTTAATTCAAGATGCGCTATCTTCCCCATCGCAACTTTTTTGATGAGTCATCAAAAGCGATACGGAAAATCGCGTTCAAATTGTTTCCAGTCTACGTCACAGCGGTCAATAACTGCATCGATTAAAGAAAAAGTTGCGAAGTTTACTGCCTCCACTGAAATGTATGTGATACAATCTGTTTGACTCCCAGCACTGTGAGTTTACTGTTCGCCCTGTTACGGTGGCCTCCCCTCCGACCTCGACGAATAACACTTTGCCAAGACTTCATAATTGTTTTTGAACTCGTGTCTGAACAACTCACGAATGTCAAGATGCCTTCGAGGGAAAAAGAAAGAAAACGAAGTAAGAAGTCGTTTTTGTTGAGAAAACCAAACACGTCGCTCTGGCTGTCACTGCGACGTTACTACCTGTCCGGCGGTCATGTATAGATTCTCTTTGCATTCCGATGAACTTGTTAAAAGGAATTCACACCTAGCAAATCGTGCAGGGGTACCTATTTCGGAATCTGTTTTTTGTTTTTTTGTTTTGTTTTAACGCAGTACTACTACACGGGAAAATCCGAATAGAGCGCTCACTGGGTAGCCTCTCGTTTTCTTTTTGTCCCATTAATGAGCATTTCGCTCTCGCCACGTTTTATTCACTATCCGAAAAACAGGCGTGGGTTCGTAGGGGCAGGGCGCTGCGTGCCAGATGGTTGGATTTGATGTTGCAGAACAAACTATAAACAGTGAAAAAAGTGCTTCGACGTTTCTTTCACGTTTCTTTTCCTTTAATGAAGGAGGAGATTGTTTATCACTTAAAACCGGTTAGTTTTATTTTTGGCCGCTGGAAATCTCATAAAGGGGAGAGTTGACGAGCCAGGGTGCCATCACTTCCAGTCCAGACTTAGAAATATGAACTACTCGCTCTTGACGCTGAGCGCCGTGCTTGTCTGCGGAATTGGTGAGTCCTCTTACTTTTGCTACTCTCTTGCGAAGTAATCCTCAAAAAATAACGCTCCTTTGAAAAATAAAGTTAATAAAAATAAACTTAACGCAAAATAGTTGTACTAATTTCGTACTTTTAAGTAACAAAATATTACACTCAAAACATGTTTTAGCATACTTTCAATATCTGAGATATAAATTTCAAATATTTGATTGTATTTCGTATTTTAGCGGTGTTCTCCGCGTGTCGGCCCAGTCTGAAAACTTATCATTAACGTTAAGTTTTCGTTAACGTTTCAGACCCTCAACGAAAAGTTAACGGCGCGTAACGCACGTCGTACCGTCGTCGTTGCGGGTTATAGTGCTCTGCAACTGTAATATAAATTGTGTTTGTTTACACAGCGGGAACCTATAGTCAGCCCCAATGTGCATCTCGCGTCTCCGCTAAAGCCAGAGTCACACTTCAAGTGTATTCTCGGAACAATGTTTGTACGCAGACAGTCCTTGCGTGACCAATGTCGCCGTCATACAAGAACGAAACACGTTCCAGAGAGTGTCTTCAGACTGCGGTTTGTGTGGTCTATACTGAGTGTGTGACCAAGGCTTAGAACCGGGGTCACAATGCTTATACATTGCATACGAGAGACAGAGTCTGTATAGAGAGATCCGAACGCGAGTCACCGCGAGATCCGTGCTTGGAAGGCCGCGTGGCAATGATTTCTGAGGACAAAACTTGGCACGCGGCGTTCGAACCACGATGAATGGATGTTAGATGGATATTATTGGCTTATGCCCTTTATAACGGGCGGTAGCTTGCGCCACCCAGCCCGAGTTGCGAATGTTGGAAGTCACCGCAACGGATGTTGCGGTGACTCGGGCTTGCAGACTGTCTTTTGCACGGTGTGCGAGCAATGTGACCCCGGCTGTGTTCGAGCGGGAAGAAAACGAATTTCGAACCGCAAATTGTGTTCTGGGCAGTTGGGCTCTCATAGGCCACATTAAAATAAAAATATCGGCTAGCATAAATACCCTGTCAGTGTCCCTTTAAATGTCCTCAACGAACACTTTTATACAAAGTGCATGCGCGTGCGTGCGTGTGTGCGTGTGTGCGTGCGTAAAAGCGAGGCATCAGCTAATATTTCCTGCGAATAAAGTCTAAAAAAAATGAGGTGCCGTAAGCTGGACATTTCGGCCTTTCACGCAGGTTCCTGCAGCGCCGGCATCTACAAGGATGTGAAGGGGTGCACGACGGAGGAAGTGGAGAAGTGCGGCACGGAGTTCGTGCCTTACTTCAGCGGCCAGAGTCTGGCCACCAATGCGGGCGCCTTGAAGCAACAGTGCACGTGAGGGCCACCGTCGCACACGTCGTCCGTCTTTTGGCTAGAATCTGCAGCCTTCACATGGGTCGGAGCCGGGAAAAGCTGAGGTTCACCGCTAACGAGGTGGAACTTTCAAGGCTGGTTCACACATTGGCGTCTGCTTACGACCGAGTGCGCCAGAAATGCCTCTTGAAGTTCCTTGCGGCGGGAGAACACTGTGGCGCCATCTATCGGGTAGTCGTGGAACACTTTTGCTTTTCACACCTTTTTGTTCTTTAGCGCATTATTTTTACCCCATTATCTTGAAAAAACAAAAACAAAAAAACTTTCGACAATGTTAGAAACGACCTTTTCGCGTAGATGGTAGCTAACATTTGGTCCCGCGAATACTCCAAGACCTTTGCCGTAGTGACGTGCAGTTGCAGGGCCACGTCGTAGATGGCGCCAGCGTGCCAGTGTGTTGTCTCGTTGTAGAGATCCCAAGAGCTCGGTCGTAAGTGAATGGAAGTGTGCGAAGCAGACTTAAGTCCGAGCATGTCATTATGCAGAAAAATAAGGTCGTATTTGAAATTACACAACGATTTCAATTGATTTGGTTGACTGCCATTCTTTCCGGTACAACACAACTTACAATTGAAGGGCGACATGCAATAATTGTACAGGCTGAGTTGTACAATTTCTCATATTTCTGTTCCCGCAAGCGCAGATAGGCAATTTTCCACATGTTCATCCCCGGCAAGCTGAATAGGAATATTAATCTTGACCCGCACAGGGGACGAAAAGAATGGGGAACCTCATTAAGATCTGCACTTTTGAACTTGTATCACTCTTGCATTTAGCCCTTCAACTGAACAACTGAGCAAGCAGTCAAGCGCAGCTTTAATACTTTTTCAAATGAACACTGCGGAACACTGTTAGCGCAAGCCCGATTTTGACAAATTTTTGAATTTTAATTCGAAAGTTCGAAAGACAGCTAGCGGGAATCAAAATTTATCACTTATGCTAGTAGCCCTAGTGAGCATTTAATTTTTATTAATCTTTTTACAGGGTTTGAAAGAGGTGTTATTGCAAAGGCTAAGAACTGGTCCCTCACAGTTGACATAACTACCCGCAGAAAGGGACGTTGAAAATCCATTCAGCTAAAAGTTACATAGGCACAGTGATCTGCTTCTTCCCGATAACGAGTAACTGTAATTGTGTCGTGTGTATGTTTATACATCCGGACGCTAGTCAGTCCCACGGGGCGTCTTGTCTCTCAACTGCAGATGAGCAATTTAGCCAGTGCCGTACAACCGCTTGCTCACGACCCGTATGCCACTCGGCGTCTGCCCCGCCCCTATTCTATACGAAGATAGGTCTCACGAGAACCTATCATGTGCTCCTGGTTTATAAAACGTCAAGTCTGGGGTTTCGCATGCAGATCTTTGACTTCGCGGAATGCTTTTTGTATGATCGCTCCAGAGCCAGCTTGCGTCCTCATGAAGCAGGTCTCGAAGTGGTTTAGTTTTCTCCACGGTGTCAGGTAGGAAATTCTAGAAATATATACAAAAACAATACAAAATATACAACATTCAAGTATAATTGAATATTTGAACGTAACCAAATAACTAGAAACCCGTAATAGTATAAAAAAGCATACGTTAGTTTGTTATTTACAATACAATGTTGTTCACATTTTATTAAAATTTGATATCGCTGCGTACCAGTACTCTGGATTCTTTTTTAAACATCGTAAATGATTGCGTATGGTTTATGTGGAATGTTTTATTCGTTGAAGTAATATTTTATAATCTGAACTATGCTTTCCGTAATTAGTCCACCAGTATATAGCAGTTTTGTTGATAGACCTTCAGTGCCGAGCAGAAGTAAAAAAAAAAGAAAGAAAACCGGCAATGCATTGTTCGTTCCATCGGTACGGCGGAGTATACGTCCCTCATTGACCAAACAAATTGACAGATGGAGATAAATGATCACAAAACTACGATATGGACCACGATATACGCAGTGTTCTTCACGGACTTAAAATGCCAAGTATCGTAAAGGACCACACTCATGCTTCTAAACTAATTTTCATGTAAAACCGTTACATGTGTTCCGCGGTGGTTTTTGCTATGACGTCACACTTCATTAATACCAAGAACCGTAATGCGTAATTTAGTTTAATTACAGAATAAACATGTGTGGGCATCACCGATTTTTTGAAGAGAGAGCGTTACTGTAGTCCATGCGACGAAATTTAGTTTTAAAGCTGTAGCTTTTAAAGCGGTAGCGTCATAGGGCCAACCAATCTCAGGAGCCGCATAAGCACGATATGTGCCGGCCGGTCAGTTCGTAACCACTAAACAATCTTAAAAAAAAAAAAAAAAAAAAAAAAAAAAAAAACAGAAAAAACTGCCGCTAGGGAATCAACTTCGGTCACCGGCGTGGAAGCCGAGTGAGCTGCTGACTGAGCTATGGGCCTGGCATGCAGGAGCGGGAGGAGCAGAAGCAGGTGGTGTGAAAAAGCACGCGGAGGAGAAAGGGGGGGAAAGGGAAAGAAAAAGAGCAGCAGAAACAGGTGGTGTAAAAAGAGCACGCGGAACGAGGAGGAGTGGAAAAGGTTAGAAAGCGTGCTTCCCCACTCTCGGAGAACCAGAAAGTTCATCGCCAAAGCTTTGCATCCGGGTGGTGCATTTTGCCGAAGGGAAGCGCGCGCAGCGTCACAAAGAGACAATGGCGTGAGGTGATCTGTTTTCATACAAAACCCTGCCCTAGACACCACTTGGACTAAGAGCACCACCCACCCCAGGTACTCAAAGACTAAAGGTCATTTTTTCCTAGGCACCACCCGAAGTAAAAGTACCGGCGTTAAATAAGTGAACTGTTGTGTCGTGCCTTCGCAGAAAATACCTGAAGGAGCTGAGGTGTTCCATTGACTTCACCAACAAATGCCTGGAGGGCATTGCCAAGGGCGCTGTCTTGCTGATGCTCAAGGCGGCCGATGAAGAGTACACCAATGTCTGCAACTCGACTCACCCCAAGCAACAGCGTAAGAGATCTTCCTTTCTCCCCATGTAGTGAACACTGTGGCTGGCTTTCGTGATGAACCTGAACTGGACTGACTGAGTACCCAGGCACCATGTAATTCATGACGTTTCAATGTCGGTTTACGCGCGCAGAGTACCTGAGCAACATCGGCTGCCTCAACAAGGCCGGACCAGCTCTAAGCACCTGCATGAACGATATGTTCGTGAGCCTGCACAGAACGGCGACCAAGGCCCCGCCTCGTTCTCAGATCTCCTACTCCTGTTGGTAAGCCAACGCCTCCCACGAAAAGTGAGGCCGCAGGTCTAGAGCTTTTCCGTTATGTTCACAGTGCTCGCACATCATAGAAAAAACACGGTGTTCACTCAGAAGCGCCTGCGGTCACGCCTCAAGCTTGTTTGAAGAATGTTTGCTTCGAACATGTCTTGTATGATCGATGTGACAGGGCCTTCGTAGAAGGAAGGCCTCCTGCAGTCTGTTTTTTGTATGATGTGTTAGCAGTGTGATGCGGCTTTAGGGCACGATGGGACAGTGTTCAATCAGTAAGGAGTGAAGTTTCAGCCGAACACTGCTCGTGCCCACCCTCTGTCCCACGCTGCATCTCCGGTAGGTAAAAAGTGAGACTCCAAACGGTTCCGCTTACCTGCTCGTACACTTTTAGCAAAGTGTTACTGTGTTCCGCGTGCCGCACTCTCGGAGCCCTTGAAGCATGCTTTTAAGCGCGCGCCCGGGTGGTACCGTGACTGCGGGGCATGCGCTTAAAAGCATGCTTCGAAGGCTACGGTTTAGTGCGGTACGCGGAACGCGGTAACGGTTTGCTAAAAGTCCCGATGACGGTTCACAGAGTACCGCTTCCTTAGGTTATGTTATGTTACTGGAGCTTATGTCAGTTTAAGTCGAGAATTTAGGCTCGTGACAACCGATTAGAAAAGAAGCTTTGAACGCGACGTTGGAAGCATAAATGTAACGATGACTCATAACCTATCCGTAAGTTCCAGCTATGGTTGTACCGCGGCGTGGCAATCACGTTCCCTAGTTGTGGGGTGATAGACTCCAACATAGAGATTGTCGCAAACGTTTCTCTGAGATGAAATAACACTGCTAAGGTCTAACGGCGCTCATATCTGACAAACTTTGGATCACTTCGTCATCCTACACCTGGCCGCGTTCCGCTGTTCCGCGTTGATCACATACATTACAGCCATTTCGATAGGCGCCGGCGCGACCCCTTAAGACCGTGAAGCTTGCAGATAATGTTAGAAAACATAAGCAAACGCTGCTTTGTGAACGAGCCCTTATCCGTGCGGTTGCTCGGGGCGAGTAACGGAAGTGGGACACATCACGTCCGAAAAGCCGATATCAAAGAGCGCGCTCTTTGCACTGGATACAATGACCAAGAGATTACTGCTCAAAATATTTTTTCGAGTGACACCTTTTTTTTTTGACTCGTCATCGCAATTTGCAGTGATTTTCCCAATGAGTGCTCTTACCACAAGACATCTAGAGTGAAAACAAACAAACAAACAAGCTTTCAGCCTTTCCAGTTTGGTGAAGAAGGAAGACCAGCGAAGCTATGCTATGGCGGAAATGAAGGAATGTCCGGTCGCAAGTCGGCAAGCCAGAGTAGAAAGGCTGGACAGCTACCGCCGTCGCCCATAGATGGCAGTAGCTCTCCAGAGTTTTGTGTCATCATTTGTTTGCTGACTGACACGATACTGGGAAAACTAGCTCTTAATTGCTCCGCTGTAAAAAAGAAAAAAAAATGCAGTTCCGCTTTTAATGGAGCAGGGCTCGCCCCCTCTGGCAAACGGCTCAACATCCCGGACCAGACAGCTTGCTTCCGGACGCGTTGACAGGTCAGCGAGAGTGCGCGATTATCGCTCCGTTTGAGCTGGGACCATATTCCCTTTCCCATTTCTCTATGGTCCGTTTCAGTTTAAGTAGGACGCGCAGCCGACGCGACACTCCAATGGAACCATGCAGTCAACGGCGCTCGTTCCTTTTGTGCCTAATATCACCTGCTAAACCAATTGGCGCCACTCGATTGACTTCAGCGGACCGAAGCGACGGCTGCGGTCAGGCTTAAAATGAAAACGATGTACGCGAGTATAGTTATAACACGGGATAACACCGTCTCGGGTATGAAACGTGACCACCGCTTTGCAGCTACTATCTGGACTACGCCAAGTGCGCCGAGAAAGCCCTGGACGCCAAATGCGGTACCGCCGAGGGCAAGAAGTTCTTCAACGACATTGTAGATCACGTGTTCGGGGAGGTCCTCAACCTGGCCTGCGCCAAGTACACCAAAGACGGCGGAAGCACCTGCAAGGCCCTGCCGGTCCTCTCGACCAAGGACGACAGCCACGCCAAGGAACGCGGCTTCATCGACCCCCTGGCGATCATTGTCAGCAATCTGGGATAAGTGGGCTAATAAATTTCTTCTTGTACAGTTCCATAGTGTATTCATGCTGCCATCGATGCATACGTGGCTTCGGCGAGGGATCGATGGCCGAGTGTGCTAGCGCATCTGGAGCGAAAGTCCGCGCTGCAGAACCGTTTCGATCTGAATGAGCATCGTATCGTCTGGTCGTGAATCGCTCTACGTGATGCACGTTAAAGACCCCAGGCCGGCAGCGGTACTGCATTAGGTAATGCTAACACTTCACAGCGCACAGACGCAAGACACTATAAAAATACATACACACAAAGAGATAACACTCACACAGCGCTGCGTGAGCATTATTCCTTTGCGTGTATGTATTTTTATAGTGTGTTATGTTTGTGCGCTGTGAAGTGTTCGCATGATTAACCAACTCGCCCCAGATGAAGTATTGACGAAGTTCATGCACTAGGTGAATTTCTCCTCTACAGCGTACACTATAGTGTCGCCGCTCCTCAAACACGAACGTCAAATTTGGTTCGGTAGTGCGGTGTAACTGCGTTGTGTGTTTGTTTAGGCTGCAGGAAGTATAGGCAGCCCCGGAGAGCATGTGGCGTTTCGCAGTAGATGAAAAATTTAGCCAGTGCAGTGCCCACTGCTAGCCTGGTGGTCTTCAACGCGCACCAGGCAGTACTGATACATTACCGCACGCCGGCACTGAACTCATCCATCGAAACGGGCAGGAATAAGGATTGATCCCAGGATACCTGGAAGGGGGAAAAGAACACGACCGAATCCATTGGTGTTCGGGCTCTGACTGACCGCACGTTTTTATTTTGCGCGTGACCCGCGTCACGGAGCTTGTGACCCGAGCCTTTTTCGAGCTCCGTGCTGCGGCCATTGTTGCGGGCTCCTGCGGCCATTGTTGCGGGCGCCTGGTAGCATGGATCGTAGGAGAAGAAAAAATACAATAGATCCCATGCTGGCAAAAACAAAAACAAAAAAAAAAAAAAGAAAAAAAAGAATGAGTAGATTGGGTTCTGACATTAAAAGTACAAGAAAAGCTGTATCAATTTATGTGTCCCATGAGACGCGCTTTCTTGTGGGAGGAGTCCTGTTGGCTCGCAGAGACAGTAGGTGTTCCGTGAATGGAGACTGGCCCTTGAATTCTTGAAATGCAGGCTTGAGTCAGTCCCATCACTATGGTTTCTCTATGTCTGTTGACGTCTAGAGTTATGGTTTTTTGGGTGCGTTTGAGCACCTTGAAAGGTCCATCATAGGGCGGAGTCAGACTTTTCTTGCTGCCTTCTTTGCGGATGAAAACATGTGTGCATGTTTGGATCTCCTGGCTGATGAAAACTTTCTGAGTATCAGGCAATCGAGGTAGTGTCAGATGAAGCTTTCGGATGAGCTCTCGCAGGTTGTCCAAGTACGTTTGGGATGGGAATTTCGGGAATTTTTGTTCCTGTTAAAAAATTCACCAGGAAGCCTAAGTGTGGAGCCATAGACGAGTTCCGCTGCGGTGCATCCGAGGTCTAATTTGACCGCGGATCGAACGTCGAGGAGGACGAATGGTAGGTGATCGACCCAGTTGAGTCGCCCGCGTCTCGTGCCGTAATTGCTGCCTTGAGTTGTCGGTGCAGTCTTTCTACCATGCCGTTAGCCGAGGGGTGGTAGGCGGTAGTATGCACATGGTGAACTCCTAGGAGCTGGGCTAGAGCGGCAAAAAGCGAACATTGGAACTGCCGTCCCCGGTCCGTAGTGACGGTGGATGGACAGCCAAAGCGGGCGATCCAAACCTAAAAAAACGTCCTGGCGACAGTCTCGGCAGTGATGTCGGGTAGGCGTATAGCTTCGGGCCACCTGGTGTAGCGGTCAACGCAAGTCAAGATGTAAGTAAATCCACGGCATGGAGGCAGTGGACCCACAATGTCAAGATGCACATGGTCGAACCGTGCAGAAGGAGAGCGGAACGGTACGAATGGTGTCACCGTGTGCCGGCTCACCTTAGAGCGCTGACATTGCAGACATGTTCGTGCCCAACCACGTACATCCGCGTTGATGGTAGGCAAGATGTAGCGAGCTGTTATCAGGTGCCGTGTGGCTCGGATGCCTGGGTGACTGATGTTTTGGAGGTGGTCGAAGACGTTTCGACGAAGGGGTAGCGGAACAAGAGGTCGAGGACTGCTGGTAGACATGTCGCAGAGGATGGTACCCTTAGAATGAGGGAGAGGAATTGCCCTGAGTACCAAAGACTTCAGCATGTCAGGATGGGCAAGCAACTCCGGATCATCTCGTTGTGCGGCAGCAATGTTCTCAAAATCGACAGCTCCACGACTTGCCGAGATAGCGTCGACACGGGAGAGCGCGTTTGCCGCCGAGTTGTCTTTGCCTTCTACGTGGCGGAGATCAACCGTGAACTCGGAAATGAAAGCAAGTTGTCGTATCTCTCGTGAGCAGTAGGCGGTGTGGTTGCCATGGAAAGCATACGTTAGTGGCTTTTGGTCCGTCAGGATGTGGAACGCGTGACCCTCAAGGATATACGTGAAATGTTTGACGGCCAGGTACACGGCAAGAAGTTCACGCCCGAACGTGCTATAACGTGTTTCGGCGGGCTTCAGTTTCTGGGAAAAAAATACAAGTGTTCGCCACTCGCCGTCAAGCATCTGTTGCAGGACAGTTCCGGCAACAGTGCTGGAGGCGTCAGTCATGAGACGGGTGGGGGCTCCAGGTTGCAGATAGAAAAGCAGGGCTGCATTGGCCAAGGCTTCTTTAACGTTGGAAAACGCAGACGCCGCTTCTGCGTTGCTTGGAACTGCTGATGATGGCCCTTTCTTGGTTCTAAGAAAATCCGTCATGGGCTGAATCATTTCAGCACAATGCGGAATGAATCTGCGATGGAAATTGATCAAGCCCAGAAACTCGCGAAGCTTGCAAAGTGACGTGGGTTGGGGAAACTCGCGGATTGCCCGGACTTCGTCTGGGAGTGGTATGTATATTGTTTTGTGAATACTTTGATATGTGCGTACATTTGTTTTGTTTGCCTGCCGCATTGTAAAGGTTATTTCTAATGTTGGACCCGCGACTAGCCTCTACGGCTATGGGTCCAAGCAACGATTGTGTATTTAAAAAAAGAATAACAAAGGAATAATAAAGAAAAGAAAAGAAAAAAGAAAAGATGCCCCTTGACGTAACGCGATGGCCCAGAATGTCCAGCGCATCAACGCCGAAAACGCACTTCTTCGCGTTGATGACGAGACCGTACTCCTGTAGCCGGTCGAACAACAGTCGCAGGTGTTGCTCGTGTTCTTCCGAAGAGGCGCTGGCCACGAGGATATCGTCAACGTACGCGAAAATGAAGTGAATTCCTTTGGTGACTTCGTTGATAAGGCGTTGGAACGTCTGCGCAGTTTCGCAGGCCAAAGGGAATTTTTACGTATTCGAAAAGTCCGAACGGAGTAGTTATGGCAGTCTTGGCCACGTCCGCTGGCTCTACGGGAATCTGGTGGTAGGCCTTTATAAACTCTACCTTGCTGTAGATGTTGGTACCAGCCAGCCCAGCGGAGAAATCGTGAATGTTCGGCAAAAGGTACCGATCAGGTACCGTGCGTGCATTCAAAGCTCGATAATCTCCGCATGGTCTCCAGCCATTCGGGTTCTTTTTCGGGACCATATGTAGTGGCGACGCCCAGTTGCTGGAAGACGGGCGGATGAATCCGAGCTCCTGCATATGGTCGAACTCTCGACGCGCGATGTTTAGACGTTCGCCAAATAGGCGGCAAGGACGCGCGGAGATGGGCGGGCCACTGGTGATGATGTGATGTGTCACACCGTGCTTGGTTGGTACCTCCGTATTGCGGGGCCGGGTTTCGGCAGGGTAGTCTGTGAGGAGGGCTTCGTACCTCGACGTCGTCGCCAGGGGACTCATCGGGGAGGCGTTGAATGACGACAGGATACCCTGGATGGTCAAGGATGTGGTGGTATCGGTGAGGCTTCTGCCACGAATGTTGACAGAATGGCCGAAGTTTTCCAGAAAGACCGCTCCCAGTATGGCTTGACGGAGATCCGCGACAACGAAGACCCACCGAAAAAGTCGCCCTAGTCCTACGTCCACGGTTAGGGATCTCTGGCTAAAAGTGGCAATTGCCGAGCTGTTGACGGCTCGTAAGGGCGTGGTATGTTGCACTTGCTGACGGTCAAGTCGTGACGCAGGCAAGACGCTCACCTCGTCCCCGGTGTCCACTAAGAAGTGGTGACCAGAGATTTGGTCAACAACGTAGAAAAGGCATCTTGTGTGTTGGCCATCGTCACTCGACGCTGCTAGTGCCGGGCCTCGGTGTTTTCCGACCAGGAGCATGGTTGATGGCAGTGTGTGGCCCGTTCCGCTTAACGCCGGTGGTACCAGCACAGGGCTCTGCTGCTTGACCGCGAGGCTCGTCGTGAGGATGAACGGGCGTGAGGGGAGCCGCGCCTGGATTGTCGAGGTCTCTCGTCTGACGCCTTCATGGCGGAAACATCGCAGGAAAGCTCTGCTATGCTTGCCTTGATCTCGGCGACTGTTGCTTGCCAGGACTGGGGCTCGTAAGGCTCGTGAGATGCCACAGCAGCAATAGAAGGGGCTGAATATTCAGCAGTCCGATCCGCCAGCATGGCAAGGCGATCTAGCGGCATGTCGTCAGCAGCTGCGAGAACCATGCGCATTCCTTGCGGAAGGTTTTGAAGAAAGAGCTCCCGCAGTATACGGTCTTGGGAATCGGTGGCTTGGGGACTCAGCAACTGTCGCATTTGGTGGAGAAGTTATGATGAGCGGCGGTCTCATAGCTCCTGGGCTGTCAGCAGCTGCTGGATTCGTGACCGCCCTGATGCCGTTGTTCGTTCGAGCAGAATGCTTTTTAAGTGATCGTATGCCTCCTCACGCGGTGGCTCCGTTAGCACGTCGTCGATTTGGTCGGCCACGTTTGGCGGTAGAGAGGCAACGACGTGGCAGAATCGTGAGAGCTGGGTAGTGATGCGCCGAAGGTGAAACTGCGCCTCGACTTGGGTGAACCAAACTCGCGGGTTCTTCGGTCAAA